CATTCAACGATTGAGGAGATAAAAATTGCATCGCTGAAAGAACTACACCTTAAAATGATTATCAAAAGTGCTTCGATGACTGGAAAAAGCGCTGGCATAAGCATATTATATCTAACGATGACTATTTTGAAGGGGACAACATAAATATCAACCAATAAATAAATAAATAAACCATAAAGTCACCTTACTTTCTGAACACCCCTTGTATTCGGACGTCATTTCGCTACACATATGGCATACATATGCAGCGGTATTTCTAGAACCTGAGGTATTCGGCATTCGATGGAGGATTGACCAGCAGTATTGTCATCGATCTGTCCGTGTGCACGCACGAGTGTAAATAATTGCGTAAATTTTGTTTCTTTCTTCTTTTGTCAAGACAACTTAGATTTTACTTCAATGAGAAAAACATAATTTTGTAATTCTTTTTCATGTATATATGGACATCGTTGTTTTATGAGTAAATATCTTAATATTAAGCGTTTTTTACTACGATCTCAAACCTGAATTCTTCCATATCCTGAATGTAGTTTATCGCGCGATTAGTGCATACATTCAGCGTACTATTTAGTTGCAGGAACGTTTGCGTCTCCCGAATCCCTCCTTTAAATAATTTTTACTCGGATAACTCTATTACATGCGCTGTGATAACAAACGGAGATTGTTCTTAGTTATTATTACCGACTTTGATACCCTTATTTCAATATGTTTCATTTCTTATTCAACCCGAATAAAATCTACTCATCCTACAGGTCACTATACAGGACACAGAGATGAGAAGCATGATCACAAATTTAATACCTTGTAACGGGGTGAATACCGTTTAATTAATTTATTCGTGCGATCGTACTGAAAGGCGCGCGTAATTACCTACGTCAGACACGAAAATCGGAGAGCAGGAGGGAACGGGTGTCAGTCAACCAACTAATTACAAATACGAGAAGAACACTTCGAAAGTACTGTTAACATCACATACGAGAACTTTTATTATCTCTCAATATTATATCAAATTCGGCCCGCGCGTTTGTTTACATTAGCGTGCACGACAACAACATGCGGTGTCGGATCGCTCGCCGCTCTTTGTTTGCCGAGATGTTACATGCACGCTTTACTTCGAGTACGGAAAATTGGTTATTAGACATGCAATCGCGGTCGCGAGATCAAGCTGGCCAGCTTATCTTAATGACGAGTGTTCGGCAGCGAACGAAACTCAGCACACACAGCGCGTTCGGGCAAAATCTATTGTTCCCCTTTTTTCTGTGGGTCGCGAACTCGCGTGCGCACGGTTTCGCCTTCGATGGCGAAACACCTCACACATACGTTTATGGTAACAGGCGAAGCACCGCGTCTGCAGGCTCAGGTCAGCTCTCTCTGGACGTCTCGGCAACAACAAAATCACCTGCGATCGGAGGACTTCGATATCTCTTTCAATTTATGCGTGTCTCGCGAAACGGCGGCTGAACCTATATTCGCCGCTCCTCGTATCGGTAGTTAGGCATGCACTCTCGATCAGCTCATCTCGGCACTCGGGAAAACTCGGGAACTATCAACTATCCCACCTTACACAGCTCAGCGACCGGATGCCAATCTTCGACTCCTCTCGGCGATATCGATAGCTGATCCTCGACTGCCTCATTTTTATACGCGCGCGTTTCGTCCCGTCGCGTGCCGAATTACCTCGTCACATTTTCCCCAACCGGTAGGTGCTGCCCTCGCGGGCACCCGCACGGTTGAGCCGTTAGCGCTAATAAGACGTTTACCATCACAATCTCTAACAATCACCACATCACTGAGAAGTTGATCTCTACCTCCGAAAAGTATTTTAAGTTTTCCTAGTTCTTATCATAGGGAGTACCTTTTTCTATGTCTGCTCTTACTCCTATTATGTCATTTTTTAGTTCGGGAGGAGAAAAACGTTTAGAGGATTTATTTTTTTAATCGCCTACCACAGTGAATAGATAAAAGCTTTCGTAGTGATTAAATTTTTTAAATATAATTGTATTTCTGCTTTTTTTTCTTCGCAGTGAAAAATTCATTCGTATCTAATTTTTTGATTGATCGATTATAATGTAATTTCTCAGATTTCGATCTACTGTGTTAATATATATTTTTGATTGTCTTTATTGTACTAAAACCAATTTTATGAAAATACGGTAGGTATTGAGATGGTTGAATATTTATGGGTTGAGTTACACTATTGATCGATCTATAAATATTTTCATTTAAATGTTATATTGCAGTATCTATATCTTTATTAGTATTTTTTTGTGTGTACGTAAGTTTGTTTTTCTATTATAGAGAGAATTACTTTTTGTATTAGTTCTTATTTTAAAAAGGTAGAATTTATTAGAGAATTATATAAAATTAACTCTAGATAGAATTTGGCTGTTAGTCTTTTGGAGTATACTCCTTTAACGATTGCGAAGTCAATTAAGTCAAGTAATTTGTTTAACCAAAAAATCAGTAGGTACATTCACCAGTCAATATTGAATTTAATTTTTTGCTTACATTAATAAGTAAATTATCTTCTTTTGGACTTGGAGTTATTGACCTTGATCCTAAATTATTTTTTCACGTTATAATCAGCTCCTGCGAGAAATCGATGTCTCAAGCTATCAAAATATTTTTCATATTGTTATTTAGAAACTGTCTAGGAGGACAGTATATAACAGAGAGCATTGAAAGACTTCTTTTATCTTTAAGTATAATATTAGTAGCTTGTAGGTAGCCATGTGAGATTAATTTATGTGATATTTAATAGTTTTAATAATAATTAATTTTTCACCATGTGATTTACTGTCAGAGCAATTTGTCTTATATTTAGAATATTGCGGTATTATCAAACAATTTTTATATATTGTAACGGGGATTTAGACCGCTACAATATTAATTTATTCGAGATAAAGTATTTACTGGTACAGTTGCAGCTCTTTGCGGGCGTGCGTTATGTTATGTAAGGCCAGCCCGGTAGATCAGGTTGCCAAAATGAGGGAAAGGATACTCAAAAGAAAAGCCATACAATTATAGCAGTAGGTGTATATACAGTTTATGTACATGTGAAAAGAGTGTACATAGCGGCACAGAGAGAGCGGCAAATTAGGCAGAGCTAGAGAGAGACGTAAAGGACGGTTAGTACTTACATTCGGCGATGCCCCTGTGTCACGAATCGACCGGACAGCAAGGTTGCAGACTACTTGAATGCGGTTTGTTAGTCCTCACACGAAGGAGAAGGTGCAGCGCTCACACTTGCACCTCACTATCAATTCCCGGTCGAGGAGTACCCACTAGCCACGAGGCGGATCCCACAACAAAAATAATAAGGCACACTGATAGGTGCAAGTACCGTCGAATGCCGCCGCATAGATCGCGAGCTATCAGCTAATAGCCGACCCTTCGTCATGCGGCACGTGGCGCGCAGCTCGTCACACATAGCTATACATACACATGCATGCGGTCTCTCTCTGCCAGCACTTTCTCTTATCTTGTTCTCCGCAATTGTCGTCTGCTGCAGCTAAGGAAAAATATAAGTCGAAAGACATGGCATATTACAATTGTTCTATATTATTGCCCTAGAGAGAGAGAGAGAGAGACATAACGTGCTGATATCAGATTTGTTATAATACTATCGTTTGAAATTGACTGTTTGAGTTCATTCTATCATTTGTCCATTCTCAATTGCAATTCCGCGTCTATTACCAAACTATGAGTGTGAATACACATACTCACATTTAGTTTCTCTATCGACAAAGTATGCCAGATATCATGGCTGCTGAAAAGAGAAGAGAACGAGAAATCGGGCACTAGCTTTGTTCAATCTTTAAGCTTGCGAAAGAGAGAGAGAGAGAGAGAGAGAGAGAGAGAGAGAGAGAGAGAGAGAAAGAGAGAGAGAGAGAGAGAGAGAGAGATGAAAGCGTTCAGGTTGAGACATGAAATAGGCAGCTGAATCGCGTTGACCAACCGCCATTTTCTGACTGACTCGAGTGTATAGATGAATTTCTCTTCGAAATAAAAAAGTGAAAGTGTGAAATTGAGTTCATCGGTTTATTGTTACCTAGCTGATCATTTTCCCCTGCATTCTGACCTGAGTTATTTCAGCCGTGGTCGGAATTTACAGTTAAGGCGCTCCGAATTCGCAAAACGTTCTCATTTTTCGAGAGATAACCGTCTGTGTGCCATTATCCGTTCGTACCTGGACCCGTAGAAAAGGATGTACTACCTGAGCTGATCCTGCGTGATCACCCAGGAGCAAGAAGCAATGAGAAAATTAACTAATCCGAAGGATTGCAACTGTTCACCAGAAAGGTGCCGTTATGTGTACCCACTGCGTAGTCGCTCAGTACGCAGTAACATGTGCCATTTTTCGACCCAAATCCCTGATGATCGTCGATTGTAGCAACGGTGATCTGGCCTCAATCAAGTCAGGAAAACGAGTCACTAACAGCCACTGTGGAACGAATTAGTGTGCACGCCTTGAACCGGCTGAAATTTTCCACTACAAATCTTATTATGAGCGATGGAATCAGAATAAACATTGTGACCAGTCTATCCAGCAGTCACTTTATCATATTTTTCAGCTGACTGTTATTTACAGGTGAGAGTTGAGTTTGCTTTCACTTGGGTTACTTTTTTATTTCAAAATTTTACTATTTAGTTCTTGAAGTAATAAGTCAATACATTAATAATTTGCATTGACCTAATTATTACTGATAAAGGTACCAAAGTATTGAAATTAGTTGAAATGAATTGAATAATATCAATTGCACATTTAACGTGGTAGTAATTTAAATAGATTAAATACTATATCTTTAGTATCAAACGAAATTTCTAATAAGGCAAATTTCATTTCAACTTTAAATACCATTATTCCATCGGTGGGTATGATAATTATGTCAAAGAAAACTGTTGAATTGCGATCGATTTTTATTCAAAGTCAATATTCTATATCAATATAAACTATGTTAAATACAACATATATAACTTTTAAAAATGCTACAACTTACGCGATATTTAAGAAAAATCCTCCAAAAAGTAGAAATGGAATAATTACTGGTGGCCCGATTGAAAGTGCCATAGAAGTACTTTTGCTTATACAAGAAATAAGATAACCTGAAATATCAAATTTATTTTTTAATACATATAGTTATTTAATTTTTAGGATAATAATTATGTTGATATGGAAAGTATTCAGTAAGCTGTCAGTTTCTTTAACCATATACGGTCAAATTGTATACAGATATATTGATGCAACCATGACTCATTTGAAAATACAAGTATAATAAAGTAAATATATTTATTATGTCAGGATTTATTATAATGAATAGAATGTAAATATGAACTATTCTATGAAAAATTTAACACAATAATTTGAAAGAGCTGTGAAAATAGTTCAAATATTAAAAAAATATCAATGTACAAACTTTACAGTTTGCAAAGTTTATTTTGCATATGTGAAGTTTATGTAATATATATGTCATCGTAGACAATGATGCGTTTAATTATGATGTATCAAATTTCGACCAGCGTTAGTTTATTGATAAAACTAATTCGCTTGATCGTACAGGTTGTGGAACCTAATTTTCTCTCGTAGATGTAACTCTATTTTCAATATTTACAGAGCCCGAGTTTAGGTGGAATGAACGAGACATAGCAAGTTAATCTTGCTGAGATGCAAGACTTTTCCAAAGAGAACAAAAGTTTTTGCTATCTATTAATTATTATAGATACGAGGGTGGTCCGATAAGTACTTAGCCTCACCACCAGATGGCGCCACTCTCGCAAAAGAAATATTCTATCACGTAGTACAACCTTCTTGATGGTTACTATCAAGATTTCAGCCGGATCGGAGTTGTAGTTTATTTTTGAGAGCGTGTGAAAGCAAGTGTGTCCGTTGATTTTTGAAAAATGGAAAAAGAGCAGTATCGGTCGGTGATTCGATTCTTGTTTTTGGAAGGGAAATCGCGCAGCGAAATCAAAAAGCGCTTGGATGCTGTGTACGGCGACTCTTCTCCTTCGATGGCGACCGTCAAAAATTGGTTTAACGAGTTTCAACGTGGTCGCACGTCGATTTTTAAAGAACCCCATCCAGGTGCTCCGAAAACGGCTACGACGGAGGATAACGTGACAAAAATTCACGATCTCGTATTGACAGATCGACGATTGAAGGTGCGCGAGATAGCTAAGATCGTAGGCATCTCAAAAGACCGCGTGGGTCATATCCTGCAAGAAATGTTGGGCATGAGAAAGCTGTCGGCGCGATGGGTACCGCGTTTGCTCACTCCGGACAACAAGCGCAACCGTGAGACAACTTCAGAGCAATGTCTGACGCTGTTTAAGCGCAATCCAAAGGAGTTTCTGTGTCATTTCGTGACAGTCGACGAAACATGGATCCACTGGTATACACTAGAGACCAAGGAACAGTCGAAACAGTGGACTTTATCCGGCGAAAGTGCTCCGAAGAAGGCGAAGACTGCCTAATCGGCCGGAAAGGTGATGGCCACCGTTTTCTGGGATTCACAAGGTGTGATCTACATCGACTACCTGGAAAGGGACAAAACGGTCACAGGGCTGTACTATGCCGAATTATTGGGCCGATTCGACGTCGAATCGCAGAAAAAACGGCCGCATTTGGCGAAAAAAAAGTGCTCTTCCACCATGAGAAAGCACCGGCTCACACTTCCGCCGTCGCCATGGCCAAATTGGTCGAATTAGGCTACGAACTGCTGCCCCATCCACCGTATTCTCCAGATTTAGCTCCGTGCGACTTTTTTTTGTTTCCAAACTGAAAAAGTCACTCGCCGGGCAGAAATTTGAGTCGAATGAGGAGGTAATCGCTGCCACGAAAGCCTACTTTTCAGACCTCGAGGAAACGTATTTTTCAGACGGGTTAAAGAAGTTGGAACATCGCTGGGCCTAGTGTATCGAACTAAAAGGAGACTATGTTGAAAACAAAACGCCACTTTTCCAAAATTTTCGTTTTGCTTTTGTAGGCTAAGTACTTATCGGACCACCCTGGTATAGCATTGAATTAGAAAATTGGTAGAATAGATTTTCCATTCATGAACGATAGAACAGAAAATAGGAAATATGAAACATTGATAAAAAAACTTACTTTTATTGAAATAGTTATCGCTAATTTTTCTATCTAGATTTGCATGGTTTCTATTGAAATATATATTGTATTAAATATATACGGTATATATTGAAATATAAATAACTCTTTCGATAACTATATATTACGAAAATAAAATTACCTTAGTTGACAATCGTAGTACAAATGTGAAGGAGTTTCTTCTGAAAAAACAAAAAGTAACGTTCATTAGGACGAGCAATCTAGGCCTAATCTCGCATGATATTTTATTTGTTAAAATAGTGACATATTTCCTATTAGTCTATAGAACCTTTTGAAAATTACTAGATCATTTTGCTACAATTGGTTCAATAAATAATCAAAACGAATTTCTGCATTATCTGTAGCGCTACGAAGATTGGTTTTTAATTAGCTGGAAACTTGAATGGCTTTAGAATGTGTGGGCGAGCACATTGAAGTTCTATTTTCTTTCGGAAGATAACTTAATGTGTACTACTTTATTGAATTGTAATATATTTAATTTGTAATATTTAAAGTTCTATGCTTTTTATATTATATAACTTAACAATATAAAGTTCAATATAATTTATAATTTAATAAATTATATTAAGTTTTGCAATGGTAGTCGATTTAAACAATCGGTACATTCGCGATTCGGTAACATTCGAAGCGCTAGAGCAAACGGTTAGGAGAGAGGGGGCGAGCGCGAGTTTCAGTTTCAATATAGCCTTAGCTGTTCACCGATATACCGACAAATTTTTCGTGTGTTTCCTTTGTCGTTCACCCAGTTAGAGTTATGGTTTTTTTGGTACGTGAGTGGGTATGAGACCGAGAAGAGTGGACGAGTAGCAAGTGCTACGATAACCAGGATAGAGCTGAAGAAGCATCATCCGGGAGCTACAATGTTCGACATTAATCAGTTACAGCTGATCACCATAACCGTATCGCAGAGTAGGTGCACCACTTTATTTCCGCGCAACGATTTCATTCAACTGGTAGTTTTGTAAGCGGCCGTTACCTCATTCGTATCGCCTGACGTTGTAGCTCGCGGTAGAATTTTTGTATTCTCTCTTTCTCTCTCCGGATAAGTGTTAATCTTATACACATGCGTAAGTCTTTCGGCCCATAAAAGACTATAACTAATAATCCTATAAAAAGATTTGTTTTCTATTTGCAGCATTACGTTCTTTCATTTCCCTTTAATTTAACGGATCCGTTTCCAGAAATCTTTTGAACCGATTTTGTATAGGGAATAGTGGTAAATGAACATTAATCTTCGTACACCTTGGATAATACAAGTATCACAAGTCAGGTGACTAAAAGCGAGTTCAACTGTATTGGAAAGGAGACATTGGAGTGAAAGTATCAATCGTAAAGGTGAATACACGTATGCTCATACGTGATTAACGGCACGGCTGTTATCTGTGCATCGTGGAAGATTGTTCTTATACAAACCCTAATTGCAACAGTTAATCAACCCTGTTACAGTTTTCATATTGACAGTTTAAATAATAAAAGAAATAAGCTCAAAAAATGGATAAAAGAAAACCTATAAACAAAATGGACAATAAAATAAATTGTAAAGATATCATACTCAAATTAACTCAATCTTATGGAGATTCACTCCCTACACTGAAAGTCCGTGAAGATACAAACAATCTTACCAAGTTACTATTAGATATAAGAACATATCTGTAAAAATAAAAACTGTAACACGTACTACAAAATATCTCACACAAGATTGAACCTTTTCAATTACTTAAAAATACTAGAAAGAACTAAAAAAGACAGAAGCAAAATAATCAAGATGGCAAACGATTTTATGAAACATTTGAATATAGAACCATATAACAAGAATATTAAAAATATACAATTTATAAAAGCAACATACCTATATCAAAAGCCGAAAATAACGAACAAAACTTTTATAGAAAAAGTTTTTGATGAAATAGATAAAATAGCAGAAGAAAATAATTGCAAGGCACGTATGAAGAAACAATTGTCAGCTCCGGGGAAGCCTATACGAGGTCTGTCCGGAAAGTATCGGGCCTACTTATATATTTTCGTGCTAGCGTTATTCTTTATCATCTGGTGGGTGGCATCCTTCAAAGTAATCCCCACTTGATTGAATAACACGGTTCCATCGATGTTTCCACTTTTCAAAACAGTCCTGGAACTCACTCTTAGGGATAGCCTTAAGTACACTCGTCGCATTGTTTTCAACCGTTGTTTTGTCATCGAATCGGTGTCCTTTGAGTCGTTTTTTAGTTTTGGAAACAGCCAAAAGTCACAAGGGGCTATGTCGGGACTGTATGGAGGTTTCGAAGCAATGCGATATTGTGTTTGCTCAAAAACTGCTGCACAAGATTGGATGAATGCGCTGGCGCATTATCGTGATGGAGAAGCTAGTCAACACTTTCCCAAAAGTGCGGCCGTTTTCTTCTTACTGCATCACGCAAACGTTTCAAAATTTGAACGTAATATTCTTTATTGATTGTCTGACCTGTTGGTGCATATTACTGAAGTACAACATCTTCACAATCGAAAAAAACAATCAATATTGACTTAACATTGCTCCGACTTTGACGTGCATTTTTTGGTCTTGGCGATTCAGAATGCTTCCACTGTGAAGATTGTTGTTTTGTTTCAGGATCATAACCATAAACCCATGATTCATCACCTGTAATATCTTTTCTAAGCACATTATCTTCATTATTGACCATTTCCAGATTGTCCAGAGCGATTTCTAAGCGAATGTTCTTCTGCTCTGCTGTGAGCAATTTTGGGATGAATTTCGCATACACGCGTTTCATTCCAAATTTTCGGTTAAAATTTCTGAAATGATAGGTTTTGGTATCCCAAGGTCTTCTTCTAGTTCTTGCACAGTCATACGACGATCATGTTCGATTGCAAGTCGCACCCGCTCAATATTATCTGCGGTTTTTGTCGTCGAAGGTCGGTCGGAACGAGGATCACTATCGACAGAAGTGCGACCATCCTTGAACAGTTTATACCACTTTTTTATTCGTGTTTTGCTCATACACTCGCTTTCGAAGGACTTTTGCATCATTTTAATAGTTTCCGAACTCGTTTTTCCGAGTTGGAAGCAAAATTTGATGCAAATTCGTTGATCGTGTTTTTCAGTCATTTTCGACAATATCAAAATCCAACGAACACGAAAAAGGCACTGTAAACAAAGACACGCTGCGCATAAACTATACGTCCGGCTGGTGTCAGTAAGTAACCAATAGATTCGTGAGGCTTTACTGTTGAGGTTTCTGTCCGGTAGAGGTCGCTCGAACACTATGACGCGAAGATATAAACGATAGATATATATCGTAGACCCGATACTTTACGGACAGACCTCGTACAGGATCCAAATTGTAGCAGGATGACCTATGGAGACATCAACTATATGGGAAATAACAAAGCTCTACTGTACTTCGACAGGGAAACACAAGGAAAACAAACATTCACTCAACTCAACATCTTCACTAGAAGCTCAACCAAGCTACTATGATGTAATTATAGTGTAACGTTGTATCTAGATCATCTTGTGAATGTTCAACCATAATGCTACACAAAGAAATCTTCCCATATTACAGAAAAACATGTGCAATTAAACTTACATGTCCAGCAAGACTCAACAATTTTGAAAGACTTATATACAGAAGAAACAAGAATGCGACCACGGGATACTACTGAAAGGCAAAACAAATGTTAAATAAAATTTGGTAATATAAAAAACAATAAGTGCAATAAACAGTGATCTGATTACTAAAGTAGTACAATGCTACTTCAGCATAAGCGGACACGCCTAGAGTTAAGTTACGTATGTATTCCATGTAGTTTTAAGTTTTTAGTTTTAATTTTACACCAGACTAGAAACAGAAATTAAATTCCTCTGCTAGATTACATTTAATATGTAATATATGTATGCATATTATGTAATTTATGTACTGCGACGGTAGTCGATTTAATTAATCGAACCGTTCGCGATTCTGCTTCTCTCGCGTTAGTTCTAACAGTTAAGAGAGAGAGGGGGCGCGCGATCTTTTGAATAGGCAGTTACGCCTCAGCTGTGAACACGAATTTACCGCCGATTTGTGTTGAACTTTGTTTTCGCCGAATAGTTAGTTTTCTGGGTCAATTTCGTGCGTGAGTGTAAAGGTATTCTCGAGGTAAAAAACAGCAGCAAGTAGCAGTGCAGAAGCAGCAGATTGTAGCTAATTGGAGGCAGTACAAGGAAGCGCAGCTGATAATCAAGAGGCAGCGGCAGTTGATATTTTTGCAACAACAATTACGGCTGATCACCGTAATTGCACCGCATGGTAGGTGCACCTTCCATCATTATAAGCGATACAAAATACATTCGGTATTTTGTCTATTCGTGATAGCGTTATTTTTTTGTATTCGCGTCGAGCGTTAGTTCGCGGTATAATTCGAATCTACTCTCTCTCTCTCTCTCTCTTTCTCACCGAATATAACTAACTGTAAAATCCTATTCGCGTGCGTTAGTCTTTCGGCCCTACAAAGACTGTAGTATTTTTTATTAATTAACCCATTAAGTCCCAAACGCACAAAATTTTAACGTTGACTTTGACCGCGCATCATTTTAAAATAAACGAGGGACTTTGAACTCAAGTCACATATACTGATGTTTTTGAGGTCGCTCTTTCGATTAGCGGTGTCGAAAATTCCGAAAAATAACGTTTAACCTATTATTTTTCAACAAATATAAAAAAAAATGCATTTTTTGGACTAGGATTTTTTTTTCAAACCTAATTTCAGCAATGTTCCGAATGTCTAGGCAACTTCTAATACAGATAAAAGGTGTTCCCGATACTTGCACTTCAAAAATATACAGCGAAACATTTCGATATATAGTGTTATCCAATTCAAAATGGCGTCCGAACGCCAAATTTTTGTTTTAAATTTCACAGATTCTTTTCTCGAAAACTATAGACTTTCGTAAAAATTTCCTAAGAATAAAAATGTTTTAGATTTAGTCAAAGAATATACTCAATTTTTTTCAGATTGATCCGGTACGATTTTGGATTTTTCAAAAAGTCAAAAAATCGAAATTTCGAAAAACGTCCTTAAAAAATCTGAAAAAAATTGAGATCATTCTTTGATGAATTCTAAACCATTTTTGTTCTTTCCAAAATTTTATAAAAGTTTATAGTTTTTGAGATAAAATTCT